CACCGCTTAATCGATTTCTCTTTTCATTCTGATCATTTATGTATACAGTTGTCTATATCTATCTCGATTCGTTTTGCCTGTTACAAACAACCGTTATGTGAACAAAGTTAAAATACCCTTGTGCACAAGTGCGCTCGGGTATAAAAATTGATGTCGCGCTTTTCAAGCACCAAAAATTAAAAGAAACGAATGCAGAGTTTCAAAGTTGTAAAAAAATTATGTCCAAATTGGCTATTGCCATAAATTTATGTCCATTTTTTAAGCACCAAAAACTATAAAAATATGCTCAGTGACCGAATGCTTATGAATTTATGTTCAGTTTCTAAATTGCCAAAAATTTATGTCCAAATTTTGTATTAGCAAAAATTGATATCCAGTTTTTAAGCACATAATATTCATATACGATTTTTACTGCTAAGCGTCCATACATATAAGTACATAATTAAAAACAACTATAATCCTACAGTCCCGAAAATGTCAAGGCCGTAACGATATTTTACTACATAGTTTTTGGTAGAGGACGAGGCTTGAATTATTCCAGAAAATACAAACGGAAACGAAAATTGTCTAGTTTTTGTGAAGCCCATCTCCAACTCTATACAAATATTTTTATTTAGTTAAAAAAGTTGGTTACTTTATGTACATAAGTATGTACATATGTATATTATTTCATAAGTTTTTATTTTTTTTTAAATTGCTTGATTTAGTTCCGATTTTATATTTTTCCTTGTAGCATACATATGTACATTTATTTACTTGCAAAAATCATGATTGCAAGCTACAATAATAATAATATGCCTTTGTACATTGCTCACGCCAGGTGATCTGATAACAATTATGTTTGCACCTTTAGCAACAACTTTAAATTATGAGTACTGATTTCATCGAACAGATTACTCTCCGAGTATGTTACCCTTGGGCAGTATCCAACTGCTGCCAGCTTACACTCCACTGCTATTGGCTCACTGTACTTTGAATTCCCGTTTATGGCACAGCCGCCTTCAGCCTTCGCTTCCATCAAATCCAACAACCAGTGTTGCGGTGGTTTTGGCAAGAACTGGGCTGACGGCGCATTAAAATGTTTGCTAGTAGCAAAATGCGACAACGCAGTAGGTAGCGAATACCGATTCGGTAAGATTTTGCCAAATTTAGGAACATTGTTCAATGAAATTCGCGCACCATACTCGTGATTGGCGCTGTGGCTATTGCAAATAGTAGCTGCTGGACTTTTTTCATTACCCCCAGCGGCACCACTATTGGACAGAGCAGCTGATTTGAGCTTATCTTCATCATCAGTTTTAAGTCCAAAACCATTGGAATACGACTGGTTATTCGAGTAGTATGCGCAACCCAAGTAACTATTCGTTTTGTTGTCGAATGTAGCGAGTGAGTGCCGGCGTTGTCCCTGTTTGGCGTGCGTCTGTTGCTGCCAGAGCTGAACTTCATCCTTGCCACCATAATGCGTTAGGTAATCAAGACTTCTACTTGTGGAAAATCCGCTATCACTTTCGCTGCTGAGCGAATAAGAGTGGAGACGTTGCTGCTGGAATTGATCCTTCCGTTGCCGCAACGAAAATAGTTCGCTGCTAAAGCCACTGGAGTTTGACGATGTTGAAGGGTTTGCTGTCGTCCATGACGTTGACGATGTGAAATTTCGTGTTTTTTGTCCATGGTGTTGATATTTAGGAGTACTCGTTCGGCTTATGAAATGTGGAGGCATAGTTGACGACCTTTTTGACGATGATCTGCGTCTTCCACTAAAAACACCATCACCACTTTGCGATGTATTTTTCAAAGGAGTTTTAATTGCTCTTTCGGCTGCTACCATCACAGGATTATTACTTTGCGAGTACGTCATATTTCTCTCCAACTTAGATTCGTTTAGAGTTGCTGTTGTATTCAAAGATACGCACTGCTTTTCGGTTTTATAATATCTGGTTTGGTAAGTGATGGCTCCCGAGTGGCATGTATCTTCTCCTTAGCACATTCTATCTGCTATTGATGACCAGAAGTTTGAAGTTGTTCGCTTAAGTACAAAATCGTCGCAGCGTGCGTGCAAAAGACGCATCGAAATCACTTGCTTACCTGTTTCGTTATCGAAGTAATCTAAAAAAATATGTTCAAGTTTAAAGTTACCCTCCTACTCTACGCTTAATGGTTTTTACCTACCTGATTTTGTTTGTCTCCGTGTCCTTTTTCTGTATTCTCGTCCTTTTTACAAGTAAAGCATTAACTTTCTGTGTTTTTAATTTCACATATTCTATGGTAGCGATTATGTGGTTAAAGTGCAATTAAATATAAAGACAATTTACTTGCAAAAAAATATTTTTTCCTATACAGGGTGTTTTAATAATTGCCTTGTTTTGAAAATATAATCTGCTTGCAATAAAGTTTTAGTAGAAAACAGGGACATAACAGTTATAAGTATTATCGCAAAGACGTTGTTCCATAACAGTTATTAGATGAGAGATATTTTGTATTTCGCCGATAAGAGTTATAACGCAACGTTTACTTTTTATGTTGTCTGATAACTGTTATGCAGGAGAAATATATTTTTCGTTGCTAATGAAAGTTATTTCCCAAAGTTTATTTTTTATGTTGCTCGATAACAGTTATTTCCCTACGTTTATTTTTTATATTGCTTGATAAAAGTTAATTCCCAACTTTTATTTTTACGTTGTCTGATAACGGTTATTTCACTGCTCCTATTTTTTTTTCATCATCTTTCTCTTCTTCCCCATCTCTGTTTTCGTTAATATTCTTCTCTTACAACGGTTATCAGACGACGTAAAAAATAAACGTTGGATAATAACTGTTATCAAGCACTGTGAAACATAATAGTTCTTCAATAACTGTTATCAAGCAGCAAACAAGGTAAAAAATAAACCTTAGGTTAAAACTCCTACCGGCGAAATAAACATTTTTTTTCATCTATTTAATAACTGTTTTCAGAATTCGAACAACGTTTTCTATTTTCTTCGGAAGAAAGTTCGCTGTCGAAAAAAAAAATTTAGTATATAAGATTGCACACAACCAAAGCGACCACGAAGTTCGTTGGACGAAGTCCTGCGAGAATAGATTTATTTTTAATTTTGTTGCTGCCGCCGGTCACAAAATCAGCAGTCAGTGAAAAAGTGGCTTTGTTTCTTCACTTTTCTAGCTGATAATTATCAGGAAGTAGCAGAATGGGACAATTTTAGGATTAATTTTTTCGCTTTTATATTTTTTATTTTTCATTCAGTTGATGCGAATTTCGTTTCGGTTCTTTTTTACTGGACGAAATGTTGCAGCGAATATCACCCTAGGGCATTGCTCCATCCATCGAAATTCGCTCAGCGGTTTGCTTCTGTTTATTTTTTAGGTGTTACTATTTCAAAAAAAAAAAAAACTCAATATATTTAAACTCAGCCAAAAATAAAGAGATTTTTGCATTTTTGTTTTTCTTTAATCCCCTCCCAAATATTTTCCAACTACAACTCGGTCTTTTGTCTCTCACCCATATTGTGTTCATTTCGATTGAGGCCCATATTGTTATAATTTAATTGACTTATTAAATAATTTAAATTGAACATAATTGTTACACAGGTTGCAGTACTCTATAAATACCTCAAAATTATTCTAAATGATTTAACTAAAGATTTCTTAAGACCCTTTCGATTGACACGCATATTTTAATATTTCATATTCATACTTATATAACTTTGGTAAGGTAAGTTGACTTTCCATACAGTTGGCAACCCTTTTAAAAATATCTCCAAACTATAACCGTTTTCAACCTCTTCCGTCTGACACCTATATTGTGATACATATTTTAATTACATAATTCTCTTTATTCAAACTGAATTCAATTTGTCCAAACACCTCAAAAATATTTTAAATGTTCCAACTAAAGGTTTCTTAGCACTATTTTGTTTGACCTCCATATTTTGATATTAAACTCTCTTCGAACTTTTTCGTCTAACACCCGTATTGAGATATATATTTCAATTACATTATTCCTTTCATTCGAATTGAATTTGGTTTTTTACTTACACTTAACTCAATTTTTCTGAGACTGCAGAATACCGACTGTTACGTCATAGTTTAAGCTCAAAACACAAAAGGACAGCGATCATAAGACGTTTGTAATTTTTGATTTACGAAAAATTTTAAAAGCATCTGCAAGTACAAGGGCTAAAAATATATTTTTCGCCTAAAAACGTTTTATTTCTCAACGTAGTCTAACATTAGCTCGATACATTTAGTCCAGCGCTTTTCCAAGTTTTTAACTCCTTCCAAATAATAGGCTCTCGAAATAAGCGTTTATATCAGTGATGACCTCTTCATTGCAAATCTCTTACTGCCGAGCCATTTCCTTGGGTTTTAAAACCGTAAATAGTCGCTGGTGCCTAAATCTGGTGAAAATGGTGGATGGGGTAGGAGTTCGTTGCTCAACCGATGCTCAACCGATGCTCTGGTGCACCGGTGGTTTGCCTTGATAGAACCGCACTTTTTCTTGGCCAAATATGGTCGTTTTTGCTGGAAATCAATACAAAGTTTGTCCAAAAGCTCTGAATAATATTAACCAGTGATATATTTTCCCTTTTTCCCTTATTGGCCGACAGACCCTATTTGGACTTCTTTGGTACACTTCTTGATTGTTCCTTGGCCTCTGATGAGTTATAGTAGACCCATATTTCGTTAAGGGTTACGAAGCGGTGCAAAATCTCGCAAGGATAGCGGCTGAACATCGCAAAACCGCCGAACACTTCTTTTAAGTGATCACATGGTTACGCTTATGGTCGCATACATCTGCGGATAGTTTTCTCATATCTTAACAGTCATGTAAAATGCGACTTTTCCACTCAGTTGGGACCCTTACAGCCTCAGCTACCTCAAACACTTTCATTCTCTGACCGTCCAATATCATTCAATGGTTTTTTCGACAATCGCTGGTGAACGTTCGGAGTCATTTGTGCTGGTACGACCACAACGGAACTCAGTAAACTACTTTGCAACCATTGAAATTGATGGTGCCACAATCCCAATAGTATTAATACAACTTTTTTGGTTTCAGAAATGGATTTTTTACGCAAAAAATAATACTTATAGCGGGTTCGTTTCTACAGAAAATGTTTTTCGGAAATCGGCATTAATCAACACACGCATTTCACTTTTCTTATTTTCGACACAAAACTTAAACTCTTTAACATAATGGAACTTCATCTTTTGTTCTGCGGTTTTGTTTTAAATAATAAGTAAGCTATTAGTTATACATAAGTACACTGACAAGTACTAAATTTAAAAACAATTCTCCTCTTCATGAAATGACATCAAATGTAAAATATACATACATACATACTATATACTTAACTAAATAGAGTCGTTTAAAGTACAAAACCGCGTAACTGTCATTAGCTGCCAAAAATTGGATTCGCTCACACAAGCTCTTGGCTCAATCCTTATCCATTCGCCCTGAAATATACTGGCCAGGTATGCGATTGCTTAATAAAAAAGAGAAACATTTTGAAATATGAATGTTTTTACTCTCTAGAAGATAATTTACATATGAAAGTCACATACGCGGTTTTGCATTATCTTGATACGCGGTTTTGCATTTTGTTGATACGCGGTTTTGTACTTTAAACGACGATATGCTCCTGTGTGCTCACCATTAATGCAACACGCTGATTGTTTAATTAATTATGTTTAAAGTGGACGTCCGATTGTTGAAATAATTAACCATAATTCGCGTAAATTAATCAATCGATTCTATGTGTGAAACATACTTTTATCTTTCCATTTTGTTTGTTATCTTTCTGCTTCGCAGTGTAATGGAATACAAAAATATAAATTTTACTAGCAAAATGCAATAGATGTGTGTGCAATGCAATAGATGTGTGTTTTTGTGTAAATGTTTGCTGCACTTCCATGTACACATACATGTATATTAGGGTGGTGTGAAAAATCATTTATTTCTTAATTCAATTTCGGGCAAAAACACATGTTAATATAGTGGACAATTTTTTTTTATAGTTGCCACCCTTTTCAATTAACTAATAAGCTAAATAAAATATTAAAACAATGTGGATGTCAATCAAAAGCGCGAACGATTTATTTCGAAAATATTTTTGAACAGGTTTGCCACCTGTACAAAAAGTTCTAATTAATTTAATTAATAAGTAAAATTCAAGACTTTAATATTAGCATTAAAGAAGAGAGGTTTAAGAATTCTTTATTTCGAAATAATTTTTGACAAGGTGCTCACATATTTAGAAATTTCAAACCAATTAAATTTAAGTGAAATATTTTTATGTTGGTATCAAACAAGACAAGGGCAAGATATTTTTTTCGAAGTTTTTGGGATTTTCAAAACATATCGAGTTATCGAAATTTTAAGTTTATATAAGATTATCGAGTTATCATTGCTTATCGAATTTTATCGTGTTACCAGAGTGTAAAGTGTTATCGAAATTCGAAAAATATTATAGGAGTATCCAAAATTTATCGAGTTATCGAGATATATACATTTTTGAGTTATCGAAATTTATTGGGCCCTCGAAATGCACCCCTATCGAAATTTAAGGCGATTAGTCAGTTATCGAATTTTGTTAAGTTATCGATTTTTAGTATTTGTTGAAATTCATTGAATTCATTTAAAAATATCGATTACAATATCGATAACAAAATCGATAAAAAATATCTATTACTATGTCGATAAGTTCCGAAGATATCGATAGCAAAATCGAAAACAATATAGATAAAAAATTCGATAACAAAATCTACAAAAATATCGATAAAAATATCGATTATTATATCGATAAGTCTCGAGAATCCCGAAAATCCCAAAATAGTTCACAGGTTCTGTCCCTGTGTCTC